CTGTTGGATTATGGAATGAAGGATATTACTTCATAGGTTTCCGTAAGAAGTACTAATTTTTATCCTAGTGACAAATGTGGCTGGTAGTTCTTCAATGGTATTCCTGCAGAATATGGATGCCCTTACTATTTTAATATTTTTTGTAGGAATCTGATGCTGTGGCTGAATTAAGTGCACTTTTTCCAGACAAAAGTATAGACACTATCCGAGCAATCTTGGCAGACAGTGGAGGAGATAAAAGTGTGGCTGCATCAAGGCTTATCCAGTGGTCTGCTGGGACATGTAAGCTACCTATACAAGTTTATTACTTAAATGTGAATAATGGTAGATCTCTGAACTTTACCTGTCTGTGATGTTATTACAACAAAGCAGAGGTCCTTGGTATTGTGTAGTGGTAAGGTTGCGTGCATTTTTTTGCTCCAACATAATTATTTTTCTGATTACCATGGAACCCTTCATTGGAGACAGTTATACTTATCTGTTCTTTCATTTGGTTTTGAAATTGTTATTTCATTTCATTTGAAATAAGAGCCCTTCATTCGATTTAGAGGTGCATACTTATAACATGACCTAAGCTTTACAGAGTCTCATAACAGATAATTTACTGAACTCCCCTTTTTTGCAATTTCTTCTGCAAGGTGCCCTAATGAACAGTGGGGACTCAGGTAATGAATACTGTACAGAAGAAGACAGTGACCTCATGCAATCACCATTTGAAGCACATGTATCCTCAAGTACTGTCAGTACCTGTACTGACCCTGTTGCACAGTACAAACAAGAAACTCTGGATGAAAATGGCCCACCACTGAGAATCTATGTAAATCGGATGACGGAGGAGTTCACTGCAGATGTTTTATCCATTTATAAGAAAGCCAACCCATGTTTTCGCTCAAACCTTCGAGTGCAATTTGAAAATGAAAGAGCAGTTGGCGAGGGACCTGTCAGAGAGTTCTTTAGCATATTAATGGGATTTGTTCAAAATGGTCTTTACGTGGATGATCCTGGGCGGCTGACTATGTTATTTGAGGGCCAGACTGACCACAAAATTCCAGTCCCAAATGCGTCACTGTCTAATTCTGGACTGTACACTAGTGTTGGACGGATGATTGCACATTCTTTCTTGCATGGAGGACCACCACTTTATGGACTTTCCCCAGCAGTGCTTGAATTTTGGACTCGTGAAAGCATCAGTGAAGCTGTTACCATGGAGGACATCCCAGATTATGACCTTCGACAAGCCTTGAAGCAGGTACTCGCATTGATGATCTTGTTTTGTACAGACATTACTTACGTATTTCTGTGTAATGTTTCAGCAACATGTTAGTGTTACTAACAATATTTATTCTGGTTAATTTTTGTTTGATATGGCACTTGTACTGTCCTGTTTATATTTGAAAAAAGGCACAAGTGTGTTCCAAATAGGTGTATACATCTATAATGACACTATAAGTTTATAATTTGTCGTAAGAAGCATTTCATTGTTCAGTCACAACACCATAGCAATTTAACGGTTTTGCAGTTATCAAGTCTTGATAAGGATGAAGAACCCTCAGATGCACTTAAAGAATTCCTCTTGCCTTATCGTGATGAAGCGTCAGTACTTCAAGTGCCGCTAAGGGGGAGAGAAACGGCACTTGGTTCTCCAGCAGATAATGCTGCACAATGTGATCGAAAAGCGCCACCGTGAACTGAAAGATCTTGCTGCAGGAATGAATGAGCTTTCCTTGTCAATTACCTAAAGGCACACAAGGAAATGGCCGCAGCCGTGTTTCCCAGGGAATGCGAGTCAGTAATTGACAAAGAAGAACTCAAGGGTAGGATTTCCATCGAGGATGAAAACAACCCCCAAGGGCAAGTTATCATGGGATTCTTGCATCGCTTCATCGATGAAGTTAGCAGAGAAGCAGAAGGTAAGTGATTACCTCAGCTATGTCTACTATACGTTTTCTATTCTTCTTCCAGTACCTCTTCTTTCCCCAGTGAATTTAAGCCATTTATCCTTGAGCATTTCATTCCTCAAACACTGTATGGGGGATAGATAATTCCACTAGCAGGATTTTCATTGCTCGATGTAATTTCAGTTGTAGGGTAACAGTGATTAGCCACCTCGTGTCTTTACTGCTAAAGAAAAGTAAACATTCCGAGCATGTAAAAGTGAAAGCATTGAAAAGTTATATTTGCCATTACGAATATTGTTGCCTAGGAGGAATTTCATGTTCAGATGCTTTATAGTGATGCCTTTGTTATGTTTTCTCATTGCAGCTGGTTCTGGTCTGCGTGATCTACTGTCGTTTTGGACAGGATGGGAGGTTTTGCCACCATATGGACAGCAACTTTGGCTACAGCTGGATGACACACGGAAGTAACAAGCCTGCCTGAAAGTAAAGCTTGTTTTCACAGGCTTGTTCTTCAGTCATCGCATACTGACTACGTCTCTTTCAAGAGTAACCTTGCTAAAGCATTAAAATATGGTGCAAGGGCTATTCATCTCTTTAAATGG